CAATGGCTAAGAAATGCCCCGCAACTTCTTCAACTTCTGCTTCATCGTATGCCCCATTAACAGTTCGCATGTAGTGTGCGTACGCGAACCTGCGCCCAAACCCTAAACCCTAAACCCTAAACCCTAATTCCCAAACCCTAAACCCTAAACCCTAAACCCCAATTCCCAAACCCTAAACCCTAAACCCTGATCTGTCACACCACCTCTGCAGTACGACTGGGAAGGATAAACCCTGTGAGTAACCGTTTAAATCTGCCGAGGGAGCTGCCGATTTAGGGTTTAGGGTTTATGAATTAGGGTTTAGGGTTTAGGGTTTATACGTACAACATTTGCATAACCGTCATCGCCAGCCGCGGGTCTGGGCGAGTTGGTCGGCAGCAAATATGTTGAGGGGAATCTATAGTAGGTAGCTCGACCTGCAGCCAAACCCTAAACCCTAAACCCTAAACCCTAAGCCCTAAACCCTAGGGATTCTTCACGTGAGTTGTAAGGTCCTAGAAGGAGTTCCTCAAGGGTTTAGGGTTTATGTTCCTCTTTTGTGCAGAATGATGTGTCTCCCCCACCCCGAACCCTTGTTGCTCAAACCCTAAACCCTAAACCCTAAACCCTAAACCCTAAACCCTAAACCCTTGAGCTTACGGATAGCCACCAGGGTTTCCAGGGTTTCATATATTGAGCTAAAACCCCTCTTTTTACAGCAGAGAAGAAAGCAGCAGATTCTTCTCTTGTTAGGTGCTGCAGGTCTAGGGTTCCTGCTGCTGCTAGCTGCTGCAGCTGCTGCAGTCTTTCTTTACCTATTTGCTGCTGCTGCTGCTGTGCTGATGTATCATCTTCATCCTCCTCATCACTAGATCCAAACCCTAAACCCTCATAAGCTTCCTTATGTTGCTCATTATTAGGGTTTTGCTGCTGCTGCTGCTGCTGCTGCTGCTGCTGCTCATCCTCATCGTCATCCTCCTCCTCCTCTTCCTCCTCTTCCTCTTCCTCCTCTTCCTCTTCCTCCTGCTGCTGCTGCTGCTCCTGCTGCTGCCTATAGAAGCGAGTTAGCTTCTTGGTAAAGTCCCGCTGCTCATGCAGCGTAGGGTTTGCTGCTGCTGCTGCAGCAGCAAACCCTTCTTCATGGAAGGCAGATACGCATGCAGAGTTGTGTTGCTGCAGGTATACACACACAGCAAACCCTAAACCCTAAACCCTAGGAGATGGTGGATATAAGAAGAGGTTGCTCGATAGAGAGGGGGGGTTTATAGCAGTCCATCTAAACCCTAGGGTTTAATTACTGAAAAAGGAACAGGTTCTAAATAAGGGTTTAGGGTTTAGGGGTTAATATTACAATTAGGGTTTAGGGTTTAGGGTTTAGGGTTTAGAGATAAAATACCTTGTAGCAGGTAAGCGAGCAGTAAAGAAGTTTGCACTTCGGGCAAACATATTTGTGCTGCTCCTCCTTGCACCTGAAGCCACAAACCCTAAACCCTAAACCCTAAACCCTAAACCCTAAACCCTAAACCCTAATTCGTGCACATTCAGATCCACAGGTTCCAAGGAACGCTAATGAAACTAAACCCAGTTATAGTCTAGGGTTTAGGGTTTAGGGTTTACTGGACTTACACTTGACAGACCCTCAGATCTGATGTGAGGGCCATCCTGATGTCAAGAAGAACCCTAAACCCTAAACCTAGGGTTTAGAGTTTAGGGTTTAGGGTTTAGGGTTTGAGCCCGTATTTGCGGTATGGCGGAGGCCGAGCCGAAGGTTAAGTGTTATGAGGGTTTAGGGTTTGGGGTTTTTATAACCCCTGTTTCCGTAAAGATGAGAATCAGAAAGGGAGGTTTGAAGCCAAGCTTCAAACCCTAAACCCTAAACCCTAAACCCTAGCCATGGAGCCGTATCGGCCTGAGTCTTCCGCCGAGCGCTGCCCACGGGAAAAATTAGGGTTTAGGGTTTAGGGTTTGGGGTTTAGGGTTTAGCAAGTGGTATTTCGCATGAGTAAATAGGAAAAGAAGAATCAGAAGCAAAGATTTCCTACTAATCTCTAAACCCTAAACCCTAAACCCTAATCACTGTACAGCAGTCGAGCGCATGCAGTTGCCCGGGCAGGGCTGGGCGGAATTAGGGTTTAGGGTTTAGGGTTTAGGATATAGGGTTAGCAGTGTTTCTTTTATGATTTTTTAACTAAATAAGTTTCTTTGTGACGGAAACTTTCGCACTTTGTGCGAGACATCCCTCCCGTGCCAACCCATTAAACCCTAAACCCTAAACCCTAAACCCTAAACCCTAAACCCTAAAGATGTCGGAGTTGCTCGAATTAAATTTTCGCACAATAGACGGAAGGAATTTTTCTTTACATCTACCTGAGGACTTGGAGGTGTCTGCATTGTTAGAGTTGGTTGCTGAGTCACTGCAGCAGCAGGCTCCTGCTGCTGATGCTGCTGCTGCTCCTGCTGCTGCTGCTCCTGCTGCTGCAGATGCTGCACCTCCCCCTGCAGCAGCAGCAGCAGCAACAACAACAAACCTAAGACTCATATTCAGAGGACAGGCGCTGCAGCCGCAGCAGCAGCTGCAGCACTACCGCATTCGTTCAGGACAGACTATTCATGTAGTGCAGCGGCCTGCTGCTCCACAGCAGCAGGAGCAGCAGCAGTCGCAGCAGCAGCAGCAGACGCAGCAGCAGCAAGATGAACAAAGACAATGGACACAATTCCCCCTTCATGGAGGAGCCTTCGTAGTCGCCCCAGGAAACTTTGGCTCTGTGAGGGTTTAGGGTTTAGGGTTTAGGGTTTGGAGTTGTTAGGGTTTAAGTAATGGTAGTAGTTTGTTCGTGTTTCTTGCAGTAGTTGCATGTAAGCATTTGTCCTGTGCGTCCCAACCTCTAGGGTTTAGGGTTTAGGGTTTAGGGTTTAGGGTTTGTGTGCAGGAAGGAGCAGATACGCAAAATGCCTTACCTCAAGATCTTGTTGGGGGTTTCCAGAGAATAGTAAACACTGCTCTCTCCTCTATGCAGGAAGCTGCTGCTGCAGCGCAGCGGCGCATGCAGCAGCGGCAGCAGCGGCAGCAGGAGCAGCAGCAGCTTAGGCAGCAGCAGGAGCAGCAGACCATTCCTGCATCCAATGCGGTCCGACCAGCTCAGCCTGTACAAACAGAAGGCACGTCTAGGGTTTAGGGTTTAGGGTTTAGGGTTCAGGGTTTACGTGCTAGTGTTTAGGGTTTCGGGTTTATGCCCTAGGGTTCCTGCTTGGATTTAACTTCTAGGGTTTAGGGTTTAGGGTTTAGGGTTTATGTGCTGCAGCAAATACAGATCCTAACCTTGTAGCAGCACTTACTGCTGCTGGCGAGTCGCTTCTTGCTGCTGCTGCTGCTCTTAATGAACGCGGTGGCCCTGCAGCAGCAGCAGCAGCAACAGCAGCAACAGCAGCAGCAGCAGCAGGAACAACAGCAACAGCAGACTCGCTTCCATGGCAATCATTGGACAGGCTGCAGGAGGTTAGCAAACCCTAAACCCTAATAAACCCTACTAAGGCGCTAAACCCTAATAAACCCCAATAAACCCTAAACCCTAGAAAACCGTAGTGGTCTTACTTTACTCTTTCTCTCGGTGGCAAACGTGGGTAGTCTTGATCCTATTTAGGGTTTAGGGTTTAGGGTTTAGGGTTTAGGGTTTGCGTGCTTCAGGCTCTGGCGGAGGAGACAGGCTGGGTTCCTCAGCAGCGCAATGAAGTAGCATCACCAGCAGCAGCAGCAACTGGTGCTGCTGGTGCTGCTGGTGCTGCTGCTGCTGCACCACAGGAGCAGCAGCAGCAGCAGCTGCTGACGTTCTTATCCGAGTTTTCTGCTGCAGCAAATGTGCTGCTGGCTTTGCTGCAGCAGACACAAAGATGGCAAGCAGGAGCCAGCGTGGTAAACCCTAAACCCTAAACCCTAAACCCTAATTCCTAGGCCGTGAATTGTGTGGTGTTTTGTTGCCTCTGCGGATATCTTCTTTTGCTGTTCCTCCCTGCTCCCTATATACGGAGAACTAGGGTTTAGGGTTTAGGGTTTAGGGTTTGGTGTGTACAGATTACAACTGGAGCCCTAGGACGCACCGCTGCTGCAGCAGGTTGGCTTGCTGCAGCAGCAGCAGGCCTATCCAGGCATCTTGCCATGCTGCCGCAGCAAACCCAGCAGCAGCAGCAGCAGCAACAGCAGCAACAACAACAACTGCAGCAGCAGCAGCAGCCCGATCAGCAAGCCGCTCAACAGCAGCAGGCGCCCCAGGAGGAGCAGCAGCAGCAGCAAACACCGGCTTTGCGACGCGACCACCAGCAGCAGCAGGAGGAGGATCGATCCAGCAGCAGCAGCAGCAGCAGCAGCACCGGAGAGTCTCGTGCTTACAAGCGGCGGCAGACAAATGAGAGTGCAGCAGAAGCAGCAGCAGCAGCAGCAGCAGAATCTGACTCCTCAATGCAGCAGCAGCAGCAGCAACGGTTGTCTGAGGATCAGTATGAAGGTTAGGCAAATACCTCCTTGCCTGCTAATTAGGGGTTTAGGGTTTAGGGTTTACACCTTTTTAGGGTTTGAGGGTTTAGGGTTTATACCTTTTTAGGGTTTGAGGGTTTAGGGTTTACACCTTTTTAGGGTTTGAGGGTTTAGGGTTTACGCCTTTTTAGGGTTTGAGGGTTTAGGGTTTTGTCTCCTAGGGTTTATTTGCCCTCAGATTGCAAGGAGACAGGAAGCGTAGAGGGAGACGAGGAGCCACAAGAAATGCAGCAGGAACAGCAGCAGCAGCAGCAGAGACAGCAGCAGCAACAACAACAACAGAGGCAGCAGCAGCTCCAGCAGCAGCAGCAGCAGCAGCAGCAGCTCCAGCAGCAGCGGCAGCAGCAAGCGCAGCAGCAGCGGCCAAATCCTCAGGCTGGTCTTGCAAATATGATGCAGAGTATCCTTGCTGCTGCTGCTGCACCTCAGCAGCAATCGCAGCAGTCGCAGCAGCAGCAGCAGCAGCAGCAACAACAGCAGGATGCAGAGGCACTGGCGGAGCTGCCTAAGGAAGCGCAGCAACTATTCACCTATTGGACACAAGACCTCAGGGAATTCTCAAGAAATGTAAACCCTAAACCCTAAACCCTAGCTAAACCCTAAACCCTAGTTACCAGCACTGAAGAGGTTTATGGCAGACCCTAAACCCTAGCCATCGTAAACACTAAACCCTTGAAAGTTTCTCGTTGTTTCTCTAGAGGGTGGATAGGGTTTAGGGTTTAGGAGATTTTTAGGGTTTAGGGTTTAGGGTTTAGGGTTTGGGGTTTGCAGATTCTATCTATATCAAGAAGAAGGCCATTTAGCTGCGCATACACCGGGCAAACCCTCGGACATAATACAGAGGCAGCAAGAGCTTCTTTCTCCCTTAGGTAAACCCTAAACCCTAACTAAACCCTAACTAAACCCTAACTAAACCCTAACTAAACCCTAAACCCTAGCCAGTGCTTTATGAGGAGACACTAAGGACTATCGGTGTAATGCTCAACTCTGCTGCTGCTGCTGCTGCTGCTGCTGCTGTTGCTGCTGCTGCTGCAGATGGCATGCTGCTCTTAACAGCGTAGGTGCAACAGATGAGCAGCGCCCTGCTCCTCCTGAATTAGAGGAGGAATATTTGCTGCTGCTGCTGCGTGATGCAGCAGCAGCAGCAGCAGCAAACCCTGATTTCCATGAGCAGCAGGAAAGATATCCTTTCCTTGCTGCTGCTGTGAGGTGTCTAGGCAGCTCTGCTACTTCCTCTCAACGATCTTAACTAATACACTATTTGCTGCTGCAGCACTGCTGCTGCTGCTGCTGCTGCAGTCCGCAGACTGCAGCAGCAGCAACTTTCTCTCTGGCCTTTTGCTATGTGCTTGGCCTGAACCTAAACCCTAATTGTTATTTATGCTGCCTCTGCTGCTGCTGCTGCTGCTGCTGCTGCTACTTCTGCTGCTGCTGCTGACTTTTGCTGCTGTAGTGTTTAGGGTTTAGACCCTCACGTAAACCCTAGATGACAATACACCTTAAGCATTGAAGGAAAAAGCGGTTTAGGGTTTAGGGTTTAGGGTTTAGGGTTTACAAGTTGTTGGGCTATTGACGTTTCGACATAAGCCCAACAACATGCAGCACCTGCTGCTGCTGCTGCTGCTGCAGCGGCTGCTGCAGCTGCTGCTGCAGCAGCAGCAGAAGAATAAAGAGAGGGAAAAAGGCAAACAAACAAAAGAAGAAAATTTAATTAGCTAGAAGTAATAAACTTCGTGTGCAGCAGAGGATCCGTTATCTGCAAACACCACAAACCCTAAACCCTAAACCCTAAACCCTCAAGGTGAGGTGGCTTTACAGCCTTATAGTAGGCTATTTAGGGTTTGCTAAGCAGCAGGAGAGGGACACAAACCCTAAACCCTAATTCAAACGATAAACAACGTGGGATTAAGATACATACAAACATTATGACTCTACTAGGGTTTAGGGTTTAGGGTTTAGGGTTTAGGGTTTGTACTTACATCTGCTATCTTAAGAGTTATCCAAATGCCCAAAACCATCACAAAGACCAACGTGATGCTCACCCTGCACAAACCCTAAACCCTAAACCCTAAACCCTATACACCCAAACCCTAGCAAACCCTAAACCCTAAACTAAGGAAGCGGCAGCATTTTAAGGGTTTTGAGCTACTATTACAAAGTGCTAGGCTTTCTAGGGTTTAGGGTTTAGGGTTTAGGGTTTGACTTACCAGATAACAATAAACCCTTTCTGTGCCTTGTCCTGATCGTCAATGTTGACTCCCGCTTGTAGGCGCTGCAAGCAAACCCTAAACCCTAAACACTAAACCCTAAACCCTAGCGACAGTACACTGATATACTAACGCTGACCTAGGGTTTAGGGTACGGGTTTAGGGTTTGGGGTTTAGGGTTTACTCGGGGAGGCGCTCCTGATGCTTCGAGTTGTGGTAGACCTCGAAGACCCTGATGACAACAAACCCTAAACCCTAAACCCTAAACCCTTAAAATCGTAGCAACCCGCACAACACGGCCTGCTGCTGCTGCCGTCAAAAAATAAGGGTTTAGGGTTTAGAGCAGTTCCATTGCTGCAGCCCGCTAGGAAGATAGAAAACAGGGTCTAGGGTTTAGGGTTTAGGGTTCGGGAATTAGGGTTTAGGGTTTCAGGGTCCCTTTATCGCACCTCTGCATTCGCCCCGATGATAAGTCCTGTGCTGCTGCTGCTGCTGCTGCTGCTGAATATGCTGCTAACGCTGCTGCTGTAGCTGTTGCTGTTGTTGCTGCTGCTTCCAAGCGCCAGCAGCAGCAGCAGCAAAAACAACGGCGTGAGCCGTTGTAATGATTGCATTGTTTTAGCTGTTTTATTTAGTACTAGCAGCAGCAACAGCAGCAGCAGCAACAGCAGCAGCAACGGTGAGCTGCTCAGACGAACCTGCAGCAGCAGCAGCGGCTGCTGGTGTTTCTTCTTCTGTGGTGTATAGACTCTGTATAGCAGCAAATAAACATTATTTAAAACTACAATAGGAAGTTTTTGCTGCTGCTGCTGCTTTATTTGCTGCTGCTGCTGCTCCTGCTGCAGCCCCTGCAACGACCAGGCCGCTGTTGTTACTGCTGCTGCTGCTGCTGCATGCATGCAAGACCCAAGTCCCGAGCAGCAAATGCAGCAACACAGCAGCAGCAACAGCTACAGCAGAAGTCATATATACACAAAGAGGTAGCAGCAGCTGCAGCAACAGTAGCAACACATATATTGCTGCTGCAGCGAATGCAGTGGCAGCAGCAGCAGCAACCGATGCCACGGCAGACAGCAGCAGCAGCAGCAGCAGCAGCAACTGCAGCAACAGCAGCAGCAAATGCGGTGTTGCTCCTTTAATATGCATTGTAGGGTTTGGATAACTTTATGTCTAAGTTGAGGAAGACAGAAACCCTAAACCCTAAACCCTAATATCTCAATCTTACACCGGTGTCGGCGGCGCTAGGGTTTGCTTCCTAAACCCTAAACCCTAAACCCTACACCATTGTCTAGCTGCTGTATTCTAACACTCATAACAACATCCGCAGAAGCAGCAGCAACAGCAGCGGCAGCGCCAGCAGCAGCGCCAGCAGCAGTGCCTGCTTCAGTGGCCGTAGCGCTGGCAGCAGCAACTGCAGCAGCTGCAGCTGCAGCAGCAGTAGCAGCAGCAACAGCAGCAGCAGCAGCAGATACTTTCTAAGCCACGGCGGCAACTTCGACAGGTTGAGCAGCAGCAGCAGCAACAGCAACAACGGCAGCATCAACAGCAGCAGCGGGAGCTGCTGCTGCTGCTGCTGCTGCTAGCATCTGGGAAGGAGCAACAGCAACAGCGTCAAGGCAAACCCTAGGGTTTAGGGTTTATCATCAGACCCTATTCTATACCCAAACCTTAAACCCTAAACCCTAAACCCTAGCGAAAATGAACAGCGCAGGCCCCCACGTTAGTAGGGAGTTCTTCGACCTCATCAAGTTCATTGGAGAGGCGAGATCCAAGCAGGTAGGGTTTAGGGTTTAGGGTTTAGGGTTTGTACTCGTCATTGAAGGTTTCTATGGACTACTCGACATACCGAAAAAAAAGGGTTTAGGGTTTAGGGTTTAGGGTTTAGGGTTTGGTGTGCAGGAGGAGGATAGAATTATATCAAATGAAATTGTTGTCTTAAAACAACGAATGAATCAACCGCGGGTCTCCACAGTATGTTCCTTAAACCCTAAACCCTAAACCCTAGTCTAGACCCTAAACCCTAGTGTAAACCCTAAACCCTAAAAGGTGTGTTTTTTCGTGCATATTCAGCATATTAGAGTTTTTTCTTCCCTGTAAGACTGAACAGTAGAGACTTTACTACATTAGGGTTTGTGTTTTTTTTAAGGGTTTAGGGTTTAGGGTTTAGGGTTTAGGGTTTAGGGTTTAGGGTTTAGGGTTTGTATGCAGAGAAAGATGCAAGAATTAGTTATACGTAGTATATATATTGAACTTCTTGGTCATAGTGCATCTTTTGCACATATTCATGCTGTTAATCTTGCTAATCAGACCCCAGCTAAGGCTAAATGGATAGGTAAACCCTAAACCCTAAACCCTAAACCCTAAACCCTAAACACTAAACAGTAGGCTAGATTGTAGATACCGTGTCTCGTGCGCAGGAAGCAGCAGCAGCAGCAACAACAACAACAACAGCAACAGCAGCAGCAACAGTGCTTATGGGAGGAATCTGCTTAGGGATTGTAGGGTTTAGGGTTTAGGGTTTAGGGTTTAGGGTTTGTGTTGTACAGGATACTTAGCCTGCAATTTATTTTTACATAAAGACCACGAGTTAATGCTTCTTCTTGTCAATACTATTCAAAAGGTAATAATCCTCTAAACCCTAAACCCTAAACCGTAAACCCTTACGAGCAGTCGAGGGTTTAGGGTTTTTGAGGGTTTGCACCTTGAAGGGTTTAGGGTTTCCCCCCTTCAGTATGTGTTTAGTGTTTAGGGTTTATTATTTCCCCTTACATATGCATATGATATTTCAACATTTCCCATTTTAGGGTTTAGGGTTTAGGGTTTAGGGTTTAGGGTTTAGGGTTTGTTGTGTATAGGATTTACGTTCTCCGAACGTATTATACGTGCATGCAGCCCTACAATGTGTATGCCGTTTATTAACAATAGAGATGCTGCCTGGTGTAGCAGCAGCAGCAGCAGATCTGCTGCAGCATCCAGCAGCAGCAATACGTAAGCATGCAGTAATGGTGTTGCATAGGGTAATGATGCTGCAGCCCCCTCCTCCATCCCTCTCCCTCAGCAGCAGCAGCAGCAGCAGGAGCAGCAGGAGCAGCACACGTCCACAGCAGCAGCAGCAGCAGCAGCAGCAGCAGGAGGAGGAGGAGGAAGGAGATAATTATATTATTCCTGATTTATTAGGAAAAATAAGGAGAGCTGTATGCGACGTAGACCCTAGCGTCATGGGTGTATCCTTATATTTATTATATTTATTATCTTTTATACATAAAAAAAAATGTCTCCTTTTTGTCTCCTCTCTTGTATCTATACAAAAACAAATACTAGATAGAAAATTACCTAAAGATTATGAATATCATCGTGTACCTGCACCTTGGATACAGGTAAATATCATTAGGGTTTAGGGTTTAGGGTTTAGGGTTTAGGGTTTTTTAAGGATTTACTATAGATTTTAAGGGTTTTAAGGGTTTAGGGTTTAGATAGTTGTAAGGGTTTAGACTTTATTGTTTTGAGGGTTTAGGGTTTTCAAGAATGTTTCCCGTTTGATGGATGAGGGTTTATTAAAATTAGGGTTTAGGGTTTAGGGTTTAGGGTTTAGGGTTTAGGGTTTAGGGTTAGTAGATATGAAAATGTGTGTATTTGTAAACTGCAGATGAATATATTATCTGTATTATCTACATTAGCAGCAGGAGATAAAGAAGTATCTAATGAGGTGTATCTAGTGTTTGAGGAAACCCTACGTCGTGCAGACTGCAGCGCGAATGTAGGGTTTGCATTAGTGTTTTCGGGTGTATGCGCAGCAGCAAATATATACCCTAATGAGCGTTTATTAGCAGCAGCAGCAGCAGCAACATCTAAATTTTTATTATGTAGTAATAATAATCTACGTTATATAGGTGTATCTTGTCTTGCTGCATTAACTAGGGTTTCTGCTGCTGCTGCTGCTGCTGCTGCTCACCAGTTAGCTGTTATTGATTGTCTTAATGATGCTGACGATACACTCAAGTACAAAACCCTAATCCTTCTTGCTGCATTAACAAACCCTAATAATTGTCCATTTGTTGTACATAATCTTCTTAATCATCTACGTGCACATCCAGACCCTCATCTACGTGCACAACTTGTATTAACTATTGCTACTCTAGCTGAAAGGTAAACCCTAAACCCTAAACCCTAAACCCTAAACCCTAAAAATCCTAAATTCTTCTTTTTTTTTTAATTTGGCGTTAATAGGATATACATTATTAACAGGGAATAATCTATAAATAATAAACACTAATTTTTACCCTCCTAGTAAACCCTAATTATAAACCCTAATTATAAACCCTTTTTCTTTCCTATGCAGGTTTTCCCCAAACCCTCGGTGGTTTGTTAACTCTGTTCTCTCCTTGTTAGAGGTAGGGGGAGTTGGTGCTTCCTTAGGGGCCCCTGGATTAACTGCTGCATTAGCAGCAAATAACAGCAGCAGCAGCAGCAGCAGCAGCAGCATGGGCAGCAACATCAGCAGCAGCGGCAGTGGCAGCAGCAGCATCAGCAGCACAGCAGCAGCAGCAAGAGCAGCACAATCACTTATGCAGCTTGTTGTTGAGGGAAGCGATGGATCACCAGAAGAAGATCGAGGGTTTAGGGTTTACACAGTTAATGCATTAGTGCTGCTGCTGCAGCAAAAGAAACTCCTACCCGATATCCTTATACAGGTGCGCCACCAACAAACCCTAGGGTTTAGGGTTTAGGGTTTACACTCGAGGAGTTCGCCACGCTGGTCGTCTAGTGGAGGAGGGTTACAGTTTAGGGTTTAGGGTTTGAGGATTACGGTGTAGGGTTTACAGATGGGTTGCGTAGATGGGGGAAAGAAAAACGGGAGGTTCTCCGATCTAGGGTTTAGGGTTTAGGGTTTAGGGTTTAGGGTTTGTGTTTAGGTGGCTAGCTGGGTATTAGGGGAGTATGGCTCCTTATGTACTGTGCCTGGCTATTCACATCGTGAGGTATTGGCTCTGTTAAGGGAGGCATGGAACAGGTAAACCCTAAACCCTAAACCCTAAACCCTAATAGGTGTTTATAGGGTCCTGCAGAAACGACAGAAGGAGAGGGGGTCTAAACCCTAAACCCTAAACCCTTGTGTTGCATGCAGGAGCAAAAACACAACCACCCGCTGTTGGGTTGTTTGGGCACTAGTAAAGTTGTCAGCTGTAACTGCAGCAGCAGCAGCAGCAGTAGGAGCAGCAGCAGGTCCTGCTGCAGTAGATGGTCTCGTGCTGCAGCTGCTGCAGCAGCAGCAGAGACACCTAGGGTCTACAGAGATACAAGAAAGATGTTTTAGGGGCGCGCTGCTGCTGCAGTTGCTGCCGCCGAAGCTCTTAGGGTAAACCCTAAACCCTCAGCAGCAAACACTAAACCCTTTCTGCTCATAAAACCTCCCAGTCTAGCCAAATGTCCAAGGTCTAGGGTTTAGGGTTTAGGGTTTAGGGTTTAGGGTTTGCTTTCAGGGAGGTCTTCCCCTTCGATGCAGCGAACGAAGATATCTCCGATGATGCGCTGCTCAACTTAGGCGGGGTTAGCTGCTGCTGTTGCTACTGCTGCTGCTGCTGCTGCTGCTGTTGATCCTGCTGCTGCTGCTTATGTGGTGATATGCATGCGTTCCCCACCGTTTGTACCTCTCTGCTGCTGCTGCTGTTGCTGCTGCAGGCCTATGCACGTGCAGCCGTTGCAGCAGGAGCACCTGCATATGTCCCGCGTAGAGAGCGGGAAGCCGCAGCAGCAGCAGCTGCAGCTGCTGCTGCTGCTGCTGCTGCTGTTACTTCGCCAGACGGATCTGTGGAGGCAGCAGCAGACGTCTCGCAGCAGCACCCATCAGTGCGTCTTCCTAGGGTTTAGGGTTTAGGGTTTAGGGTTTGGGTTGATGGTTGTGAGACAGGCCTTGACACTGTCGTTGGCCTCTAGGGTTTAGGGTTTAGGGTTTAGGGTTTGTGCGCAGAACCCCGTTGGTGCATTGAACTTTACTCCCTACGCACCCCCTACACCGCCTCACCAGCAGCAGCAGCAGCACCATCAGCAGCAGCAGCAGCAGCAAACGGCAGGAGATATGACTACCTCCAGCACGGGCCTCAAAGTGTTTGGTGAGGGTTTAGGGTTTAGGGTTTGGTGCATCCTTAGAAAACACTTCGCAGTTTGTTGCTTTAGAGGTCAGGGCTGCGAGTTTAGGGTTTAGGGTTTAGGGTTTAGGGTTTGTGTGCAGGGCCTCGTCGTTGGGGTCCATCGGGCTTTATGGGGTCAACAAATGGAGCGGAGGCTGCTGCTGCTGCTGCACCTGCTGGCAGCAGCAGCAGCAGCTGGCAGCCGCATGCAGCAATTGATGCTGTGTCTGCAATTAATCTGCCGGCGCAGCCAAAGTACAGCCACCATCAGCAGCAGCAGCAGCAGCAGCAGCAGCAGCAGCGCGAGCTAACAGAGAGGGAGCGAATGGCTGCTGCTCTCTTTGGTGGTCTTGGTGGAGACCCAGCAGCAGCAACACCAGCAACTGCAACTGCAGCAGCAACAGCAGCAGCAGCAGCAGCACCAGCTTTTCCTGCTGGTATAACGACAGTCAGCAACGCCACCACTCCCCGAGCAGCAGTAGCACTTCCTGGGTCAGCAGCAGCAGCAGCAGCAGCAGCAGCTGCTGCTGCTGCTGCTGCTGCTGTGCCTGCTTCCTCAGTAACGCACACGTCTACACCTGCTGTAGACTTGTTAGACCTTGATAACAGCAGCAGCAGCAACAGCAGCAGCAGCAACAACGTCAGCAGCAGCAGCAGCAGCAGCGGGGTTGATGACCTCGTCATGGATGTTCTCTCGCTAAGTCTGCAGCAGCAGCAGCAGCAGCAACAGCAGCAACAGCTGCTGGAGCCACTCCCACTGACTACAGACCAGGTAACTTAGTCATGTTGCTGCTGCTGCTGCTGCTGCTCTGCTGCTGCCGCTCCTACTGTTGCTGCTGCTGCTGCTGTTCTGCTGCTGCTGCTCCTACTGTTGTTGCTGCTGCTTCTTTTTCTTTTGCTGTTGTTTTTGTTCCTCCTGTTTGCTTTTAATACAACTACTGCTGTTGATGGTGCTGCTGCTGCTGCTGCTGCTGCTGTTGCTGCTGCTGCTGCAGCTTGGGAGTGGATGGGCCTCCTTACCTGGGGAAGCAGAAGCAACTTCTTCCCTGCAGCGGCCAATGTTATGTGCAGACTTTGCTAAAGAAATTGTTGCTGTAAACCCTAAACCCTAAACCCTAAACCCTAGTAAACCCTAATCGTGTCATAGTCTGTAGCCTAAACCCTAAATACATATATAAAAAGCCTACCGTAAACCCTAAACCCTCAACTCCCCCTCTGCATCACCACCTCTCCTCCTGAAGGGTGTAGGGTTTAGGAATTAGGGTTTAGGGTTTAGGGTTTGTGTGCAGAAAACCCTTGGGGTTTGTATAGTTGAGGTTATAGGGGAGGAAGCAATAGCAGCAGGAAGAGCAGCAGAAGGTGCAGTGTATATACACCTAAGGATGGATGCTCCTGTTGCTGCAGTACAATACAGAATTAAGGCAGCAACTCAGAGGTATTTCTTCCTCCTGCTGCTGTTGCTGTTGCTGCTGTTGTTGCTGCTGTTGTTGCTGCTGTTGTTTTGGCTCTCGCGGGTCTCCTAGGGGCTCCAGGGTTTAGGAATTAGGGTTTAGGGTTTAGGGTTTAGGGTTTACGTGTGTGTTGTTGTACAGTCTAGCTGATCGGATCGCAGCAGCATGCAACGCTCTTTGAGAATGCAGCTGCTGCTAGCTGCAGCAGCAGCAGCAGCAGCAGCAGCAAGTGCTGCAGCAGCAGCGGCAACTTCTGCAGCACCAGTGTTGAGCTCAAGTGCTGCAGCAGCAGCATTTGCAGCAAGAGCTGCTGCAGCAAGAGCTGCTGCAGCAAGAGTTGCAGCAGCAAGAGTTGCTGCAGAGAGAGTTGCTGCAGCAAGAGTTGCTGCAGGAAAAGTTACTGCAGCATGAGTTGCAGCAGCAAGAGCTGCTGCAGCAATTGTTACTGCAGCAAGCGCTGCTGCAGCAACAGCAGCTGCTGCAGCAAGAGCTGCTGCAGCAACGCCGAATACAGCAACAGGTTTTGGGGCAACAGCAGCACAGACTGCTGCTGCTGCTGCTGCTGCAGCAACCGCAGCAGCAGAAGCAGCAGCCCCCTCTTATTATAACCTCTTTTCTTGTTAGTTATTTGAAGTTTAGCTGCTGCTGCTGCTGCAGCAGTTGCTGCATTTGCTGCTTGCAATGTTGCTGCTGCTGCCGTTGTTGCT